TGCATCGTCGAGGTAACAGGAAGGGACGACGTATCTGATCGCCTGTGGCCCCCACAATGGTGGCTTGTCTCCGTGAGAGGGGGCCCACGGGTTAGGTCACAGCTGAGTGCTCTGCTCCAGTATCTACCATAAAGTCAATGGGTCAGCCCCCCACCTTCATTCTGACCATGGGTTCCCGGGGGCCTAGCAAAATAGAGCCTGGTCTGTCCTAGTCCTCCTCATAGTCGTCCATGGCGGCTAGTCCCACAAAATCATTCTTGGGGGCCCCATGAGGCTGCGGGGCCAGTTGGTATCGGTCCTGGACCAGATGGCCCCTTTTTTTCTGCTTAGGACCTTGCTGAGAATCATCTGGTCACTGGGGGTACTCACTTTTCCAGTGGCCCTCCTGACGGCACAAAGCACATTGATTCCAGCCTAGTTTTGATCTAGGGCGAGACACCTCTCCCCGCTGCTCTCCTTTCTGGATTCGGCCCTTTCCCTCCGGGGCTTTCTCCTGGGGGTGTCTTGATTGCTCCACCAAAGCGGCAGCTAATAAATCTGCCTGTTTTTGCATCTTTCGGCGTTCTTCCTTCCGTGCCGCCTGGTCACGGTTAATGAACACCTGGGTCGCTACTTCTAGCAACTGACTGATATTCATGCTAGTGAAACCTTCTAGTTTTTGCAGCTTGCGCCGAATATCTCCCTGGGCCTGGCCTACGAAAGCCGCATTAATCATCCATTCGTCCGCTGGTTGGCGGCGTTTCTTCAGGTTCTCCTGACTGTATGGGCTGTTTAACCTCTGGCCGGTATTTGGAGGTAGCCGTGAGGCGAGCCAGGATTACTTTACAGCTCTCTTCAGTACAGACTTTTAGCCAAGGAGGCCGGGACAGGACCAGGTCCTGCCAACAGTCAATATAAGGAAATTGGTCAGGGTGGCCTGGGTCCCCTGCAATGACTCTGAACACTCAGCCAACTGGTTCCTTATCAAGTGAGCCCTCAGAAGGCCAGCCCACCCCAAAGGATGGCCAGTCAATTTCGCAGAATGTCCGGAGCTTTTCAGGAGTTAATTTTACACCATAATTTCCTGAATATCCCTTTTTGAAATTCCTCAACATACACTCTAGGAGAGTCGGTTTACTCTGCTTTCCACCCATTTCCTCCCCCTAACAGACGACTTTCATGCACAAGAAGGGGAAGACCAGGGAAGGAGGTGGACCAGGTTGGAAAGGACGCACACCCGCTTTGTCCGTTTCCGGCCGCTCTCCTCTTGGAGATATTTCAGGCTCCTCTTAGCATTGATGGGTTCAGTTTCAATCCCTGACCTGGATCAGACTCCCTAGGAAGTCTGACGCTGCCTTAAGCCTTATGAGGTCGCCACGGAACTGCGGATCTGGACTCAACACTCGCTTCGGCCCTTGGTCAGGTTGGAACCTTCCCTTTGTCCTTCTCAGTCACACACATTCACATAACGACTCCAGCCCTTCGCCCTTCATCCAGCGCCTTAGAGTTGCAGCTTTGTTCCTCTTCCCTTGTGGACTTACTAGTGCAACTCTGGGAGGTGATCAGGCTCCCCTTCTGCCTCTTAGGGGCAGGTCCACCAAAACGCACCCAGGTTCTTACCAGTCAGATGGGCGGCGCTCCTTAAGCTGGTTCCTGGGCCTCGGGTTCCGTTAGCGCACACAGGGCCCTCTCCCCGGCCCGCCGGGATAGGCTAGTCCCCTACGGATCAAGAGGTCCGCCGGCGCCAGGTGAGGTCCCTTCTCCCGCGCTCTGAGGCTCGTACCCTGGTGGCAAGGGAGGTGGCAATCCACCATCTCCGAGTCCCGGGCGAGGCCCCCAGGTAATGTTGCAGGATTCTCGCTCAGAGAGTCGTGACACCGAGACTTTTCTTTCCAGGAAGCAACTTTATTTTGCTGGCACAGCTCAGTTGGGTTCGTACCCAAAAGAACTGAGCGGCCCACATCATATGGCATAGGTTTTTTTATGCGTTTTCTATTTCTTTGTCTCCCATATATGGTAATACACATAAACATGCAGTCTGATTAAGTTGTTTCAGTTTACAGGAACATGGGGGATGTAGGCAGCTGGACTCATATCTAGGTGACCTTGAAGTCTTCTCTTCTCTCTTCTTCATTTTTTTTTTTTCTCCTTAGGGAGGGGTTCCTACCACAATATTGGTTTGCAATTTTACTCTTTCTGCAATGTCTTCAGTAAGTTCGGGTATCAACTATTTAAAAAAGAAAAAAATAGTAAAAAGTTAAAAAGTGTAAAAACACTAAGTTCAGATATCAGGTGTCTTCATTTTTTTTTCAAAGATCTAGAACAATTTAGAAATTATCTTTTTTATTTTCAAACAAAATTTCCCTCTGAAACCATATAGGCCTGGTGTATTCAGGGTTACAGCTCTTTGATAACTTTCTCCATATATATTAAAAAAATTTTTAATGTTGTTGTTTTTCCTTAAATTTACTTCCGAGAGAGAGAGAGAGAGAGACAGCATGAACAGGGGAGGGTCAGAGAGAGGGAGACACAGAATCCGAAACAGTTTGGAGCTACCTGTGAGCACAGAGCCGGGAGCGGGGCTCAAATGCACAAACTGTGAGGTCATGACCTGAGCTGAAGTCGTAAGCTTAACCGACTGAGCCACCCAGGCTCCCCGCTCCGTATATTTTATAGATAATGGTCTGTTTGAGCTTTCTAAACCTAAAGAGGTCAATTTAGGTTAACTTTAGTTCCCTGAAAATTATCCATTTCACCTAAGTTTTCAAATTAATTTGCATGAGAGGTCTGCAAAATAGTCTTTTATGATTTATTACATTCCTTCTGTTTCTATAGTTACTTTTCCCTTGTTATTTCTTATTTTGTATGTATGTGTTTTCTTTCTTTTTTTTTTTTTCTTAATTAAATTAGCTAGTGGCTTATCTATTTTCTTAACTATTTTTGAAAACCAGAAATTTTGTTTTACTAGTCAGATCTACTGTTTTTCTACCTACCTCACTAATGTTTTTTAAAGTTTATTTATTTGTTGAGAGAGAGAGAGAGAGAGAGAGAGAGAGAGCCAGAGAGGGACAGAGAGATGGAGAGAAAAATTCCAGGCAGGCTCTGTGCTGTCAGCCGAGAGCCCAAGGTGGAGGCATATACTCACAAACTGTGAGATCATGACTTGAGTCAAAACCAAGAGCCAGTTACTTAATCAGCTGAGCCACCCAGGCGCCTCTGCTTATATTTATTATTATATTTTATATATTTCATATTCCAGACTAGTGGGGACTAGTTACTATTACACACACACACACACACACACACATACACACACACACACACACACACTTTTTTTTCCTCAGTTCAACTATACATTGTTCTCACTCAGGTGCTATCTGAAATCCATCATGAGAGAATATCATGAAAGATAAGGAGAGCTTCATATTATATTCAAGCATACATTCCAGTTTTTAAAAAAATTTTTTTTAAATGTTTTATTTATTTCTGAGAGAGAGACAGCATGAACAGGGGGAGGGTCAGAGAGAGAGGGAGACACAGAATCTGAAGCAGGCTCCAGGCTCTGAGCTAGCTGTCAGCACGGAGCCTGACACGGGGCTCGAACCCACGAACCATAATATCATGACCTGAGCCAAAGTCAGACGCTTAACTGACTGAGCCACCCAGGCCCCCATATTTCAGTTTTTTAACCTTTGAATAAACGAGTTCACTTTTATTTTCTTGTCTAGGGATTAGAAAGCTTGGAAGGGGCTGGCATGTGGGCAGGTGTCCTGACATGGATGGGCTGTGACCTGCTATTAGGAGGCCTGTGCTGAGAACGTGCTATCAGAGCCTGTAACAGAGCTGGAAGGAGCTGGAGTTAAGAGTTAGTCTTTATATGACACTGAAACAAAAGCACTGTCTTTCCCAGGAGGATTTTGGAAGGATGCAAAACGTTTCGGATCTTTAAGACCGTCACAAAGGGCTTTTTTTGATATACCTACTTTAAAGGGTGCCTAGAGTTGCTCCACTTGCTCATATAATAACACTGCATGTCAGTCACCCGGCTGTCAGGAAGTACAGAGCTCTGTATGAGGCCAGAGCCAGAAAGTCTCAAACACAGTCTGTATAAGCAGCAGCTTCCCCTGAACTCAAATGACATTTTTCTGCCTCCAGGGCCCTGTGGTATTTTAGCATCACTTCAGTGTAGATTCTCAGAGTTAGCGAGACTATCTGCCACCTGTGAGTTATACGCTCCCCGAGAGTGTACTTACTACTACCATGGAGGGACTGGGGTGGGGCGAATGAGGAGAAGGGTATCTTTATCAGTTACCGCCCTAATCCATCATTGTGAACAGGTTTTGCCAAGGTGACCTACCCCGACAGAGTGATGCCGGAGGCACGCCGTCTGGCATCTCGGTATAGGAAAGTGTTGAGAATCAGCTTTAGTGAAATGATCTCCTCAGAGATGATGCTTGCTTGCTGGCCAGTCGTTTCAGTTCATGAGAGCAGTGTCCTCGTCTCTTGTCACTGTAATCCAGTTCTGTGTCCCGAGACCAAACACAACACCCTTGAATCCAGCTAGCTATTGAAAAAGCTTATTCCAGGTCAGAAGAAGATATAAGCGAAGGATCCGGGTAATTCAATTCTAAGCCCCTCATAAGCACATTTGATTAACAGGGCTGTGTCATGTCCAAATATAATGTAGGACATACCTATAGATCATTTCACCTGGATCAACTTCTTTTGTGAAAATTATGTTTGTTCTTATTCTATATGGAAAATATTGACTCTATACTATAGTAAAGATGATTTGGTATTTTAAAAAATCCTATTTTTTAAACAGGAATTCTGTAATAGATTCCAGAAGACCGTTTTCATGGGGTCACTTATACTTACATGTGAATCTGGGACAGTGAGAGGAGGAGATAACCCTGGGCTCCCTGACCCTCTACAAAATCCGCTTATCCATCCATGGATTTCTAATAAATGGGCTAAGAGGAAACAGAGCTTTGAAACAGGAATAGTCAAGAGTTTGCTTCTAGACATGAGGAGCGGTCAGGACAAGTAAGTTTCAAGGACAGATGGGATCCATTATGAAGGTCTGGGGCAGCTTAGGAGGTTTATTAGTTATCTATTGTTGTCTAACAGATTATCTTAGAGCATAGCTTAAAATGGTTATTATCTCTGAGTTTAGGGGCAAGAATTAGGCAGCATCTTAGTTGGGTGGTACTTGCTTATGAGACTGGAATTGAGTTATTGGTTGAAGTTGAGGTATTGGCTGGGGCTGCAGACTTCAGAAGGCTTGACTTCACTCACGTGGCGATTGGCAGAATGCCTCTGTTCCTTGTCATGTGGTCCTCTCCGTTTGTCTGCTTGGTGTTCTCCTGACACGGTAGCTGGCTTTGTAAGAGAGAGTTATAAGTCACATGCCAACATTTCTGCAATATCCTATGAATAATATGAATATGAATCATCCCTACCTAATGTGAAAAAGGACTACAAAGGGTGTGACATCATTGGGGGCCAGCTACCCGTGAGAGGTTATGCCAGATGCCAGCCTAGAAAGGGAGAATTGCCTTATCAACTAGATGAAGAATTGGTTGGGACAAGTAGTAGACAATCTTAGGGAACTTTGCAAGTGGAGGGAAGGGAAGAATATGCAAAATAGCTATAAGGTGCCTTAAAGCTCAGATGTAGAATGTTTGGGAGATGTTAGAAAATTGGTTTTCTTTTTTTTTAATATTTCCTTATTTTTGAGAGAGAGAGATTGAGCGCATGAGTGGAAGAGGGGCAGAGAGAGTTGGGGGGGAAAGAGGATCTGAAGCAGGCTCCACACTGATAGCAGCAAGTTCGATGTGTGGCTCAAATTCATGAATCGCGAGATCATGACCTGAGCCAAAGTCAGATGCTTAACTGACTGAGCCACCCAGCGCCCCAGAAAATTACCTTTCTTAACCAGAAACCTAGAGACTGAAGTATGAATGGGAAAGATTAGGATGGTCATAGGGGGACATGAACAGCTCTGCCCAGGAAATGCCTTAGGAATGACCAAATTGCAGATGACCTTGGATGCTTACTGTGACAGGGATTGGTCTTTTACTAGCTGGGGAAGCAGATTTTGAGAGGGAGTAAGCATTTTACCAGATCTGGTAGCAAGGCCAACCCAAATCAGCTGGTTTTAATATCAAAATATAACCTTATTTAGGTATGTATTCATGTATGTATGTGTATAATCTCTGCACCCAGCATGGGGCTTGAACTCATGACTCTGAGATCAAGAGTTGTATGCTCTTATGACAGCCAGCTAGGTGCCCCCCAAATCTAGTGTTTAATAGGACCTACTTCATAGCACCTACCTTGAGGGGATAGGGAGAGTAGCAGGAAGAGTCAGATTTTCTGCTGGTTTCATGAGTGACGTCAGTATTTGGCTAGAGTTTAGATCAAGACTCAAAAAATATCTTCATATCTTCTTGTATGATTTTACTTTCCCATCTATACATATATCTATCCAATATTTATTGATCACTTACTTTGTGCCTCGATTCTCAGAGAAAAAACAAAATTGTTGAATTTTTAAAAAATGTTTCCAAATGTTTATTTGCTTTTGAGAGAGAGAGAGAGAGAGACAGACAGACATAGTGTGAGTGGGGTGGAGCAGAGAGAGAGGGAGACACAGAATCCGAAGCAGGCTCCAAGCTCCGAGCTGTCAGCACAGAGCCCAACACAGGGCTCAAACTCACAAACTGCT